AATAAAAATAAAGATGTTGGGTTCCCCGAAAACTAAACACTAAATAAAACTAAAAAAAAAAAGGGGGCTGGGGATGGAGCTCAGTTGCAGAGTGGCCCTGGGTCGGAATCTAGTGCCACAAAAACAAATAAATAAAAAGGAAAAAGAATACGATTGGAAAAAAGGATACAGGTTAAAAAAGGAAACACTGAAACAGCTCCAAAGAGTAACTTTTACCCTACTGAAGTATAACACACACCCAGAAAAGTGTCCCTAGTGTGAACTAGCAGCCTGTTGGATTTTCGAACAGAACCCACTGGCGGGACCAGCACCCGATCAATCAACAGCGCAGCTGCACTGGGAAGCTCCCCCGTGCTCCCGTCAGCCTCCACACCCCGAAGGGGAGCTCTGTCCTCCTCTGACGCCCTCCATGGGGTTCTGTGCTTTGGATCATGGAAGCCACACTAGTAGGTGCCCTTAGTCATCTTCCCTGGCTCAAACACAGCCATGTTGTTGCAAGGAGCTGTCCATCATTCTGTCTCCACCCTCGGGGGTCCAAGGTCATGAGCCCAGTATGTTGTTCCAGCCTGATGTCGTGGGCACCGTGAAGCTGCCCCGAAGAGGGCTGACGGCAAGGCTCTGTTGGAGCGAGGTGGGTCAAAGGGCTTGTGTATGATGCTCAGCTTTGCGGGGTGCTGCTGGCTCCCCAGTGTTGTACCTGTCAACGTTCCACCGACCACACTCCAGTCTCCCCAACACTTGAACTTTTCTGCACACACAAAAGAGAGATTTTGGGATGCTTCTCCCCTCCCCCCCAACTCCTCTCCCCCCACTCCCCTCCTTAGCACCCTGGCTTTCCATTGGGGTAAATATTAACTGTGCCAAGCACAGAGATAAACAAAGGCAAAGTCCCTGCCCTTGGGTGTCCGCTGAGCAGAGGCCCAGATGGACCAGGAAAGAAATGTTTTGAAAGCAGAGAAGTACTTGGAGTGAGTAAAGTGGCCTGAAGTTCAGAGGTCAACATCGGGATGAGTGACAGTCCTGGCGGCCTCCTAAAAGGGGGAACTCTGGTGAATAATGATGTTTTAATGCATTTTATAGCAAGTTAATGATATTTCTTCTGGTCGTAGGGTTTGCCATAGAACGTTTAGCAACTAAAGTCAAAGAAAAAATTTGGAAATCATCTAGAATTTCACCCCTCAATGTCAAGTGCGGTCAGATGTTCGGTGTGCACCATTTCCTTTCAGTTCCGGCCCCCTCTACCCACAGTCCTGCCCCAGGACCCTTGCAATTGAGGTTGAAACACAACCCCTTTCTCTAGGGACAAGAGTGACTTCTTATCTTTCACAACACCTTTCTAACGTGGCATCTGTGTCATTTCCTTTTCCCAGAGCAAATGGAATAATCATTAAAATCTTGGTTTGGGTTGAAATAACTATTTCCCAATGAAACTCTTGCCATGTAAAATTGCACACATCTTCCAGTTCAGTTCACACATAACAGGGCTATTCCATTTCTCCGCTGCCAGTGGCGTTGTCCCTTGTGATCCCAACAGGATGACCACGGTTTGAAAACATTCTTAAGCCATTAATACATGCTCATTTCAGGCAGCTTGGAAAAAAAAAAATTAAAGAGGAAATAATCATTCGTAGTCCCACCACCCAGAGAAAAACCGCAACGGTCCGTGTGTTTCCTCCCGTCTTTTTCTTTTTTTTTTTAATTAATAATACTGTTCAAAATATTATGAAACTGGGCTGGGGATGTCACTTGTGGCTTGCCTACCATGCATGAAGCCTTGGATTCAACCTCTAGCACCAAAGAATGAATGAATGAATGAATAGACAAACAAATGCCACATTCCAACACAGAAGAAAATGTAAGAAATATAGAAAAGACAATGAAAAATAACCTAAGTTATCTATATGATGTGGCCACCCAGAATAGCTACCCTGACCGGCAGCCTACTCCCTTAATTCCTCCTAACCGCTTCTATGTCTCTTATCAAAAATGACCTGCTCTAGAAGAGATTGTAGAAAACAGGTCCCGTGGAAGCAAAGGTCCCTATTGGAAAGGCCAATCAAAAGTCTCAAGAACATCAAAAGGTGTTTCAGAACAGGCCTCTCCGGGTGTGGTCTAGGAAACGGCAGCATCTGAATCGCCTGGGAACTGGGAACTCCAGTCAGAGAGTCTGGGCTGGAGCCCGGGGATGCTTACCAAGCCCTCAGGAGGCCCCGGGGCAGGCCACAGCTGAGGAGCACTACACAGAGAGACTGCATCCCCGCCAGGGTGGATTCAAAGTGGGAGTCTCCTGGGAAGTGGGGTGGACCGACTTTGCAGCCCAGAACCTATTTATCCTTATGCAACTGTTTTTGTGATTTCATTTCCAGAGAGAGAGAGGGAGCCCACCTGGCTTTGGCTCCCAATGGCCAACCCCATGCGGGGCCTGTAGTAGGTGCTCAGCACACACCGGTGGAATGAATCAGGTTACGAACACCTGAATGGAGAATTGAACTGCAGAGCGGTGCCCGACACTTCTATTCTTTTTTTCTTCTTCTTCTGATTTCTAGGCTCGGAACATCAGCTAACGGTTGATCACTTCTCGTCCTCCTCCACACCCACCCACGTCCTCCACATCTCTGGGCTCCAGAGAGGAAGCAAGCTCTTGGGGTGCGCCATGATTTCACCATTCCTAGTACTGGCCATCGGCACCTGCCTTACCAACTCCCTAGTGCCAGGTAGG